ATGAACAGAATCGGTGACAGAGGGCAGCCTTGGTGGAGTCCAACTCTCACTGGAAATGTAAGCCTCTCTGGTAAGGTCTGAATAGACCTTACCAGAGAGGCTTAGAAGTGTGACCTCCCCAGTTGAAACATACTTTGCGCTCCCCCTTTTAAAATAGGGGGACCCCGGTCCGTCTCATTGGTGAGTGGGGGTTATCCCCCTTGGATAATGGTAGGGAAACGCTGATTTCTGTGACCATTGTGGGGTTTTAAATGAGGGGTACCAACATTTTTGTCCACGTGTGCATGCATAAACACATACGTACCTGCTGCCAGGGAGACACAGCACTGCTCCTTCTGCCCAGTGACTGAGCTGATGCGGTATGGGACGTCCTCAAGGTTCGCTGAAATGGGCGGAAGGACAGGAAAGCGTGCAACAGCACACATCTGGACTGAGCCCAGCGCCAGGTGACGGACAAAAGTGGAACCGTTTTGGATGAAGCTGTTTTAGGACAGAGAAGGTTTGTCATCAAATCTCACTTAATAAAAATAATTAAAAAGTATACCGTAAGAAGTTCTAGAGCACCATGGCTAGATGGAGAACTGTGTAATCTTATGTCAGAGAGAGATGTGGCAAAGAAAACAGCAATTACTGTATGTCAGGAATAAAGAACGACTGGGAAACATAAGTTACCGGTGCTAACAGAAAAAGAAAAGCTTATATTCCCAAGTAAGACTACAGGAAAATGGAAATTGTGGGTAACTTTAAATCACATAATGGGAAAACACTCAAGTCAAAATCCAACATTTGTGGAGACCAGTGGTGGGCACAAGCCCGCTAAAGCGCAAATRCACTAATTGTGGACCTAAATATTTCATTTGTACTTRAGCGGACTTACTGATTATTATAATTTATAAGCGATTTGCGCTTTCTAAAATGAAAACGCAGTACTGCTAATAACTAATTATCTATCAGTCTTCATCATCTTGAACAGCAGAAGGTACGGCTGATCACTTAAAACAGGCTGAACACTTAAAATAGGCTGAACACTTAAAATAGGCTGAACACTTAAAACAGGCTGAACACTTAAAACAGGCTGAACACTTAAAACAGGCTGATCACTTAAAACAGGCTGAACACTTAAAACAGGCTGAACACTTAAAACAGGGGCAGAACACAA